TTCGTTGGGAATGTCTTCTGTAAATAAACAATCAGTGACTAAGTTGTTAAATATTGAATAACGCAATATTGTCAATGTTTGCTGAGGCTCAAATTTCACATTTATGAAATTCGGTCATATTCTAATTCACTTTAAAGAAAATGAGTTCGTCGATTTCTGGCAGAAAATAAATAGTACCACCCTTAACTCTCATTAGATTTTTTTTTCGAAAGTGAAGTTAGATTGGTTGTGGCTCATTCAGTGATCTTATAGAGACTCTTATTCATAGAAACCATTTTGAATTCCCCCTGATTTGTTTCACTGGGTGGAAATGCTCGATCTCTGCCGACATGTGGCTCCCAGTACGGACACCGGGACGTTTACCTGGAACAGCTTGGAGTTATTCGTCCTAATTAGAAGGAAACGCATGCCTTGTATTACTATACTGGCTACCATTCACAAAATAACGTCACTCCGTACTCGGAGATGTAGAGAATTTCTATGCAGTCACACAGTTGAACGGGAATTCAAAGCAATTTCAAATCATGGCAGTCTTCATCAGATAATTGAATCAGTTACTACCAACCTAATTTCATTTTGCAAAAGACTATTCAAAGACAAATGTATTGCCACTTATTTTCTACTGGTGGATTTTGATCTCAATGACAACATTATTATTTACCGGAGTCCAGTATATTCAGCTGATAAGTCCCAGATAAGTCCTAAATTCGGTTGATAGTCATCACTAGCCAAATGAAAGTTGATACAGACTACAACAATGCAGCAACATATTTCTGAGAACATTTTATAAACCAATATCAGTAAAATAATATTCACAGTACTACATTCCTTACAGTCAAAATTATGAGTGTTTAAATTAGGAAGAGAAAGTAGTTGTGATGCTAAATCTCGTCCTCAAAGTGTGACGTCAAACTGAAGGAAAATTATATTTCAATTATAAATAAATGATGGTTTTATTTATTTATAGGAAATAAATTGTAAATTATGGTTCATTAGTCTCGTGAACTCTAATTCACTTGTTTCATGTACGCCAGCTTTTCCATATTCCGGAAATTACTAATACTTACAGCATTTATTAGTTGGGTATACGTGTAACTCTATTATTACATCATGATATTATTGTTTCCTTTAGTTTCTAGAAGAATATAGGGCTTCAGTCGCACGTCTCCATTGCGTTTGGTTTTCTGTCAACGCTTTCACCTGGCTCCACGTCTGCCCACATGCTTTTATCTCCTCTTCACATGCCCTCCTCCATGTCACCCTCGCACTGACAACCAACTCGCTGCTTTCCATTCGGGTTCCACTCGAGTGCTGACCTGGCGGGTGATGTCACTCACTTGATGGTTTCTCAGAGAATGGCTAATCCATCTCCATTTCTTTCTGCATATTTGTTGCACATTTGGTTCGTGGTTGGTTCGTTTATTGCCAGAGATCCCTGATGCTGATCTTTTCTGGTCATCTGATCTTGAGTGGTGTTGAGCGAAGACAGTCACTGATGAAGGTCTGTAGTTTGTTTGAGATGCTCTCTATGATGCGCAGTGCAAGTCTCTGCTCCGTATAGTAGCACTGACTTCACATTGGAATTGAAAATCCGGATCTTATTTTTGATGCTGAGAGTTGTTGACCTCCACACAGACTTGAGGGTAGTGAAAGCTTGTCTTGCTTTTCCAATTCTTGCTTTGACATCCTCGTCAGTTCCACCTGTAGTTGAAATGATGCTTCTCAGGTAGGTGAAGGAGGTTGTTTCTTTCAGGTTCCTTCCATTTATGATCAACATGGTGGAATTTTAATTAATGAGTTATGCACTAGAATCTTACTCGATTTATGGAGGTTTTTATTATTCGTAGATACTTCTATAGTGTATTGAAGTGCAGTACTTAATAGTATGATTCTTTGTTTGCCTTCGACAAATGTAACTATGCTGTTACTTTTTTTAAGATAAACGTTTTCTAGATATTATGACGATAATTATTCAAAGTTGCAGAGAAAAAGCTTATACTGAGAAGTATAGTTTGTGGATAATATTTTCTTTCAGCAAATTAAGTAATTAGTCTCTAACAGATACTGTACTGTCACGAATAGTGATAAAGCTTCTTTTTAATGAAACAAAGAGCCTAATCCAAAAAGAATGCACCTGTGGATTTTCAAAGAATAAATGGAGCAGTAGACAAACAGTAACCTCAGGATGTCAAATCAATGATTAAATGGTTTCTTTCTGTTAAATAATCTCCAAGCCTCACAGTAGGCAGTAATGACATGTCACTCTGATGAGCAGAGACTGGATTTATGAAACCACATCTTGCTAAGGCGCTGAATGTAGGCTATATTAGGTGTGTATATTGATGTACACGTCGTTCTGACACTAACAAATGACAATGAAATTAAGTAAATCTGCATAGATTTATTATTTGTTAGGATTCCAGTTACAATTCATTCGTAACAATGGAATAACTATGCATTCTGTTACTCATATCATAATAATAATAAAATTAGAGTTGAATAATGTAATTATTTTCTCAGAATTCAATATTTAATCTTCTAAGCAATCATTCTGACTATGGTACTTAAATTTTTATTAGATTATTAAAGAAATGCTCAGTTAATTGTTTGTTAGGGAGAACTTAAATCAGATTAGGTGAATGATAATTTGCTCAAAGTTTATCAGCATTCAAGTAATGAAGGTATTTATATCAGTTTTACCCTCACCGAATCACCTGAATACATTTTTAAATCATTCTAAGCATTTTAGTGATTTGCGCATTATTGTATTACTGTATTTAAATATCAAAGCTTTGGTGTTTTCATTGAGCTTACTTGTTAATTCATGATACCAAAATACATTTGTGAAAATTATATTTGTAAACGTTTCGTTAGGCAATCTAGTCCGAGGGTATATAGGCAAATAATCAAAATTAGTATATATATATATATATATATATATAGGGATACAGTGGGAACACCGTCATGTTATGTTCTCTAGCTGATTCAGTCGTGATCAACTCGTAATACATCTTTACTTCAAAATTCTTGTCTAATCAAGTTAAACGAAATGTAGCTAAGTTATTCAAAAGATACAGGATTATGAGTGAACTAGTATTTCGATACATTTATGCTAATGTATTTGAATGGTCTAGTAACATATCGTTTAAGTTAAGGCTGTCATGCATAGTCATCAAAAATAAAATATACAAAATTGTATGAACTATGATCAACATTTGACCGGATAGTTCGACAAAATTATTATTATTCAAGGGTTGTTTTTTAAGGATTAGATTTGTTTTTCCAGTTTGACCACGGATTAGTCTACTTTGTTATACACTGTTGTGTACTTTTACATCAATCTTTAGTGACAATGTTCGAATAAAGGTCATGATCATTGAGATCTGAATTAGAAAAATGTGTGTGTATCAGTGAACATTTGCACATCATTTGTTAGCATTTCAATAAGATGCAAATAATTGGAATAGTGCATTAAGCATGAGAATTGATGATTCATATCCATACAGCAGGTCGAAAGTGGAAACAGTTACTCATTAAAGATTTCCCTTTAAACCAATACCTGAATATCCATGAGATGACCACTAGCGACTGGCCCGATTCAGGTAGGTAGTTACCTGGGTTCTAGTTGGAATTCGTGACCAGTAGGGTGCAGCTGGTCGGGTGTGAGGACAAATACTCGCCGAAGATATTGAATAGCGGTCGCGCTATGTCATGAATTGACAGAAGTTAGAATTCATGGGCTGGCCACTGGATCGGGTCCCAGTTGCTTAATGGTCTACGAGCTAGGTCGCCTCGTAACCAGCAGATCCTGAGTTCGAACCCCTGTGGATGTGTACTGCCGAAGAATCCCAAACTAGGACGAAATGGCTGTCCAGTACTCCCTGGTTTTCCAATGGTTCTCTAAGTGATGTCAGCTCATGATGAAATCCTCCAACCAGTCAAACAAAAATCCCCACAAACCAATACTGGAACCTATTCATTTTATTTGTTAATTAAGCGTAATTATGCATCGACTAACATCACACTGTCAAGTTTATTCATACTTTTTGGATTCACCCATAAATGTTGGCCTTCCATGTCCTATTTTTAAATACACGAAGCAAAAATCTTCCGTAGGATCTTCGTCCCATCAAAATCGATCTTGCGTCGCGTTTCTATGGAGTGTAGTGTAACCTCTGGTTTGTTTTCTTTCTTCAAATCCACAGAGGTTTTTGGAACTGCCTTTAAGCATTATTTATGTTCTTTTACTATTGCATTCATCTGTCTGGAAGTTTCTCCTACGTCTACGGTATCATGGTCCCTACATTTTATTTAGTGCAATCAGTTCTGTTTTTTTCCTCTATTTCATTCCTAACTTTTACTAGTGATGAGAGTAAGGTGTTCGTTGCATGAGAATAGATCATTACGTTATGACTGTTAAGTTAAGACTAGCTTTTGCCGAACTAAATTGTGGAATTACAAATATGACTCTTACATATATCTACTTTTCACTCAGCGCCCTATTGTCGTAGAGCTATCTCATCAAAACTTGATCAGAGTTCTTATAAACTTAAATAAATATTTTTAATAAATGCAGGTACATTGGGTTAATGGTCTTCGAATAGGACAAAGTGTCTGTACTGAATTCTGTCTGTATCTAGTAGTTCAACAAGAATCTCGTAAAGTTCTGTATGAAAGCATTCTGGCGTCCTGGAAACAAAAACATCAAGATGAATGAATATTTGTGGAAAAAAAATAATTTTATTCGAAAATATCATACCTGCCTGTTCCTTGTGATCTCACCTACAGCATATTTCCTGAAGCCTATAAATCATGACGTTAGCTGTCTACAAAAATTTCAGGTAAAAACCTAGTGATGATCTGGAAATCCTCGTAGAATGTTGAGATATAAGTGTTATAGGTTATATCGCTCCCATAAGAAATATCACATTTCAAAGCATTTCAAGAAAATATAACTGTGTTAAACAAAAATCCATATTCTTCAAAAAAATTCATCTTACCTACAAATATACTGGCCATCATCAGTAACCCTTTTAGGATTGACAACACTAAGAATTTGAGTGAATTCATTTACATTGCTAATTATATATTTAACACCACCGGAGGCCTTATTAATTGATTCTATATTCAGTGGTTCTTTTGATAATGCACTTCTATACCATAATATTGACCATTGGTATTGATTAAATCCTTTAGTAATTTGATAATTACTTGTTTTAAGTAGAGAAGATAGATTGCAGTTAAGGTGTCCTGTTAATCCTTCTGATGTATGCTCGAAAACTGTTTTTAACTGATCATCACCTTCTAGAAATAAAAATAATCATTAGAAAGTTAATTTAGTAAATGGTACATGGATATTTACAGAGGAGAGAAAAGTAATTTTTCAGCATCTGTTAACCGTAAACTAAAGACTACTGATTTGAATTGTTGATAAACCGTCAATTCGAACTTTATTTTACACATCACTACTACAGTATTAAGTTGGCTTAAATATTTTTGTTTAAAAATAAGCAGGAACGAAGGTGTAAGTTACATTACACTATATCAGACAGAACAGATCTCAGTTACTCTGCTGTTTCCCACTCAGTTAGCATTTCCACTACTCTTATTTTATGTGGTTGTTTTTTATCTCTACCGCTTCAGCTCTCTTATTATTAGTAATTCAGCTAAACGCAGATCAGAAGTCAAGTTCAGAGTACATTAATTATAGAAGAATAATGTGTATTTATCAGTGTAACAATAGTGATAATACAGTAACAGTATGTGAAAATCGGCAGGAAGAAATGAGATGGATTGGCCATACTCTGAGGAAACCATCAAGTGACATCACTAGACAAGCCCTTGAGTGGAACCCGAAAGGGAAGCGGCGGGTTGCTAGTCAGTGCGAGGGTGACTTGGAGGAGGTCATGTGAAGAGGAGATGAAAACGTGTGGGCAGACATGGAGCCAGGTGAAGACCCTAGCAGAGAACAGAACGCAACGGCGGAAGTCCTATGTTCCTCTAGGAATTAAAGGATACAATAATAATAATGTGAAAATACGTAATTATGCATGCAGAATTGTAATAGACGTTAAGCGTATTATTTCTAGCTCCCCCTAGTAGAAGGGGATAAGTTAACCGTATTGCTATAATCTGTTACGTGGACAAGTGGACAGACACATAGTAATTTTTTATTGCATCAGCGGATGCTATGTGTGTTATGCACCTAAATGACAACATGATCTGCAAACTTATCCTTTTTGATAACAGAAATAATAAATGCAGTTGGAAATATTTAGCGTCGATTTAATCATCTCAAATATAAAAATAATATGAAACTATAGAACATCTTTCACGGTTTATTTCAAAATGCCGACAAACGAATTTACAGAAATCAGTTCGTATCAATGAAAATGAAGATTTGTCTTCCTCGGGAACACGGTAATCGTTAGAATGTTGACGCATCTTTAGACAAATACTTCCCACGAGTGAATACCTATCTAGTGGCACAGAGGAATTATGTGAAAATCAGCGAAATAGTAAAGCAGAATATTTATAATGATAGTTATAATACTAGTATCAAAACTTCAGTGTTGTCAGATTACTTTCAATGCTTTCATTTTGACCAAAGTCAGTAAATATGGACTATAAATGTGACAATATTTTGCATCTAAAAGACGACTGGTACATTGCTTTTTGTGATCACCGTGTAATGACAAGTGTCAGCTAGCAGGAAACTTAGACGGAGAGAATCCTGGTAATTAATTTCCGACATCCACCAAAGTTATCTTAACATCAATTATAAAATAGTGGATCTTATACTCTTTTATATTTTCCCCCCCCCCGGCCCTATTTATATTACTAATTGCTTTCATTAATAAGTAGCTAATGGTTTTATGATTATTATGGAATTAAACACAATACTAATTAGAAACTGATGACAGAAACATCTTCGTGTTTAATTGCAGAACAGCTGCTAGTAGTGCAAAGCTGGTTGGATTGGATGGAATTTTTATGCATCTGTAATTAAGCAATAATTCAAACTACTTGGCAAACAACTGTTATATTATACTACTTTGCATGTAATTATATGCCAACAAAAGTAAGAATTATAGAAGAACTAATTCATATAACATTACCAGTTTGGATATTTTTCTCAGTATCCAGCTGAATGAAATATTTACAACTGACTGGATTTTCTTCACTTCTGTATTCTGCACTGCTAATATTCAGATTTCTACTTCTCCGGTGACTACCTACAGTATATTGATATATTCCAGTATCTGATTTCGTAGTATTGAGAATCCTGAGTACTCCATCTGATGCAAAGAATTGTTGAGAAAATTAAGGAAAGTTAAATAGAAATAGTATGCTCACTCTCAATAATGCATTACTAAAATACTTTAGTAATAAAAACAATACATTGTTTTCTTATACAGGACCTTAACATGGAATCCATTTATCGTATGAAGCACACGAAGACTATGGATATTTATGAATGTTTCAAATATTGTATATTGCCATCAGTAAAATGTCTGGTCTGTTAGTGTATTCTTCGTAATGAGTTAAGATTTCATCACATTTTCAGAAAGCTAAAATCTGTACTAGACATAAGATAGTCATTTTTTGGTTGATCTTAGCTCAGGAGGCTGAATATTGTTGATTGACATGGGCGGTTTTCCGTTACTCATACTATTAACCAGTAATATATGTCATCATGTTATTTGCGAACTCTTTTATCAAGATATTTCATTTAGATATAAAATGAAGTGAAAGAACAATAATATTGCAATCGTTAGTAAATAAGAATTTAGTTGCACTCTTATTGATTTCACAGTGAAAGGTAATTGACTGGATTGCCAACAGAAAGATAACTTAGAGCGAACTGCCCTTAAACACATTTGTCAAAACAAATCGAAGTAATGCACTCATGGTAAACTCAACAGCCCATAGTTGGAATTTTCTGCTAGTTTACTGCATTCTTCATGCTTAAGTCCTCCTGGTAGACCTTTGTATATTAGTGCTATCATCAACTTTAGTTCACCTTCCAAAACGCTGAATTTCAAATGCGCCTGGTGTATGGTGAATACTAGTTATATATTATGCATTGAAACATCCTCTGTTTCAGGAAACTTAAAGAAAAATACCTCAATAACATTATGAATTACTGAGTGATACAGTGCTACCGAAAATGTTGACAGTATGAAAGTTCTAAAAGAAACAAAACATCAAAGGTAACTGAGTAACATTACTGGGTCTCTATAACCCTAATCGCTGACTTATTGAGTTATTTAAATAACACATTTCGAAGTTTCGCATGAATAGTTATCATTAATCGGAAAATTTCAAAATTATGTTAAGATACCACAGCATCAAGATATAGGTTATTTGATAGTTAGATAACCAATATTATGCATTCGGTAACTGACACAGAAAAGTATAGCTTAAAACTGCCTACATATCAGTTGACTGCTCATAAGGTATTATTTGAAGATTATGAATACATTTCTTGGTATATTAACTAAGGTCACTAAAGAAAGGAAAACCCATAACAGAAATCACACATTTCTGATCACTTGCAAAGTCCAAGAATTGTTGTCACAACTGATTATGCCAATTCTTTTACTTATTAAATAACACCAGAAAATCAATACACTAAAATACCTTGAATTTGATACTTGCTGTTCTTTCCATTTATTGCAATAAACTGTCCATTGTGAAGCCAGTGGTAAGTGTGAACTGAAGTTTTAAAGCCATAGTTCTTCTGCCTTGTTTCAATGTCATACTGTGAGCTGATCATCGCCCTATTAAAATTCCGTTTATTCCAGTCACTGGATGATTTTAGAAGTGATTTCCCAGGATCGGAAGTATTATTCCCTTTCGGCAAATAATTGTTACAGTTTAGCGTCGTGTTCTTACCAGTTTCAGTAATAATCACTTCAGGGTCTGAGGGTGCATTATACAATGATCCTGAAATTATCAAGAAATTAAAATTATTAACCCAAACTTTTAAGCTGTGAATATATCGGTAGAGAATTATCTCGAAATTTAGAATTGTTTATTCCTGAACACAGAAGGGGGAAGTTAAACTTAAGATGCCCAATAGACGCGGATGCACTCAAGACCCTGGAGAGATCAGTTCTCTTAAAATACAAATTTGTACCCCTAGCCCTAATCTTTCTTTAACCTAACACAAATCTATCACCCACCAATCCTAACTTTCTAAGGTCACGAGTGCGTCTGCGTCTGGCAGATATCAACAGTTTAACTTTGCTTGTAGAATTTCAGCTTCATAGGATAAGAAATAACCTTCCTGTTTCATGCAAGAACTGGGAGAATATTGAGAAAACCAGCGGGGTGCTTAGCATTTATCTATTGACTTGATACTTTTCTTTCGCTTAAAACAAAGAAGTAGTGTGTATAAATTGTCAAATGGTTGATATTACTTTTTTCTTTAATGAATTCAGTTGTCATTTGAGTAACTGATGATATCTAGAGCATTTAAAAAAAGAATCCCCTTCATAAAATTTTAATTGTTTCATTTTTAAAAAGATAGATAATATTGGTTATGTAAGGATTTTCTTTCTTGCTAATAGATGGAGTATGTGATATTAACTTCGTCAAATTTATCCCTGCCTTGTATAAATTTATGAAAGAGAAACTAGTCTGCCTTTTTTTAATGTCACGAAATATACCATTGGGATTTTAAAAATTTATGTCAAAAAATATATAGATGACAAAAAAATAATTGGTAGGGGTTGTTTCATATTCACCAGGCTTTATGATTAGCTAAGACATCATCTTACTAGATGACACTGATACTCATATTAATAATTAAAATACACTTACCCTGGAGTATGTAGCTAGTCGCTAATAGATGAAAGAATCAATTCACTGAATAAGGTTATTATGTCTCTTATCATGAAATGGAATCAAATGAAGCAATACTGATCACCTAATACTATCATAATCTCTGTATTTTTGAAAGCTTATAAGTGATGCATTGTTAGACTGGGAATGGCGGCCTGCTTAAAATGCAGGGTACCAAAAACATCTATGATTATACCGCATCTAATTTGTCTTGTTCACATTGTTTCAGTCTATAAAAATATGACCTCTAATGGTACTGCTTACTCTTGAGAGTATTTAAAATTTTTACAGCCTGTTGACTTGAAAGTTTCTACCAAACCTGAGGAAAAGTATAGTCATAGGTGGCAGTGTATCCCAATACGTGAGATGACTGTGTGTGATATTTTACACACAAACTGCTAATCCCTAGAAAATACAACTAACTAACTATCTTCCGCCTTTAAGTACTCACTTATGTCTTCGGGTCTCAAAGTGTACTAATGCAGTATTTTTTCTTTAGCTTTCAACCAAATATCGTGCATTTCGTGTAGACAAGGGAGATAAGGGATTGGTTTGCGCTTCAAATCAGACGGCATTGCGTTACGCGATCTATTGTCAATTATTAATTTTCTTCGAGGTCCCGGACGAACAGAAACTGTTAGGCAATAAATTCTAATGATAATTGTGTACGTTTTATATACACAGTCCAGAATGAAGTTATTATTATTAGTCAGATCATTCAGAAGAGTCAGTTTGTAGGAATTTGTTTTATTTCAAGTTTGATCACGGATTGATATCAGTTAGAGGACCACTAGTAACCGACGCAGGATGAAGTTGCCTGGAGTTCTAGTGAGAAGTCGTGATCAGTAGGGTCTGCCATGTCGAGGGTGAGGACAGATAATCACCGGTGACACTGGCTAACGGTTGCGTTATGTATCACGAACTTGCTGAAGTTAGAATTCAAAATCTATAGGGTTCCGCGCCGGTCGCTGAATGATCAACGAACACATAATGTAAACTTGAGGTCCTAGATTAAATCGCCAATGGGGGCATGGGTGAATATTGCTGGATAGTCTCAAACTGGGACAAAACGCCTGTCTAGTACTCCGTAGTTTTCAGTGGCTCTCTGAATCATATCAAACTTTAGGCGAACCAGACCATTTGACTTCCCGACATTTATCCTTTAAGGCTACCTACATAGCTTAATTTCGTCAGTCTTAAAGTGTCTGTGTACAACTGAATAAATAGCCATAAACGAACAGAATCCCGAACCCCGCGTTTAGAAATGTCACATTAAGCCTCTTTCTTTGCCTTCGGCCATAAAATGTCGTTTCTCCTCGGTCTCATTCTAGTCTATTTTGTCTGCTTATTCATTATTATTATTATTGTCGTAATTTCTATTTTGACAGGAAGTAACTCCCCATTAAACCTTCTTCATTTCTTTGATATTCTTTCCTGAACTTCATCTATTTCAAACATAATCCCCGAAAATATGTATTTTTTCATATATATAGATTGAGTAATTTTTAATGTCACTAACCACCTTTTTATGTAATATAAATATGCCTTTACAGTGTGGAAATGGATTACTCGATAAGATGTATTTACTCACTGATTTAGTCTTTATTTCCTTTTATTAAAGGTGTTGTTTTATTAATAAGTAAGCCTACTTTGTACATTACTGGTGAGTACTAATTTAGTCAGTCTAGAGACTTCGTACATGGTTTAGTAAGACAGTTAAAAATCCATTTGCATTGAGTATATTGGTACTAATTTATTAACGCCTGATATAATATTTGAATAATTTTGAAACTGACACGAAACCGAAAAAGTTGTCTCCTAAATCTTTAATGTGGTAGACATTTTTACACCGAAACCACCTACCACAAAAGAGCTGTTATCAACAAGCACTTATAAATGGACATAATTATTTCTACTACCAATCTAGTCATAATCTTCACAACAACTTAGTATATAATCAGAGATTGCTAAGTGTTTGGTATACACGTATTGCTGCAGCTTTTATAGTCATACTCAGCACATAATTGGTGGCCTAAATTCAGAAACTTTCATATTTTTTTCAAAAACTTTCACACCATTAAAGTAACACGAACTTTCTTTGAACAACTATTCTCACTATCATAGCATTCATATCCAGTCTGTGTCTACTTATGTTTTTTCTAATGAAGAATTAAGTAGAATTATACTACAATGTATCAATTTGTAGAACAGTTAAACAAAAATGGAAAAAATGTACTTATTTTTTTAAACGAGATAGTATAAAGGAAAGGTAAGATGGGAAAACATTTCGATGAGAAGTCCATATGTTATTAAATCTGAAGATGAATCTTGATACTTTGTCAGCTTTTGGCATGATATCGTTTTCCCCGTAGTTTCAACTGACAATATATGAACACAAATTGATTTTTTTGTAGTGTGTTTATTTTTTTTATCTACTTTCAGTGCAAGTGAATGCTTGAAATTTTCATGTTTTCCATAACCGAAGTCAACTACATTTCATATGAAGAAAAAGGTGCTATTGATTCGAATATGATCGGATTCAAAATAAGACACTGGAAAGAAAACATTTTAGACAACAAGAGATTGAAGTTTAAGTGTGAGCCATTGGATTGGGTCCCAATGGCTTAATGGTCTTCGAGCTCGCCTTGTAACTACAAGGTCTTCGGTTTGGACGCTGGTGGGTGCGTACTGATGAAGAATCCCAAACTAGGACGAGAAAGCCGTCCAGTACTCTCTGCACGTTTTTCAATGGTCCTCCAACCGATATCAGTTCATGATGAAATCCCGTAAAAAGAGATTGCTTCGCAAACAAATGATGGGTGTATTTAAGGTCACACTGACTTACTGGACACTAAGGCGTATTTATTGTCATGTACCTAGCCCCTAGCAGTGCTGACTGCATTCTGTTAGCTCAGCGGAAACGTCTTTCACCGTCACACAAAGCGGCTCTCGTTCGAACCCTGAAGGCCACATTAGTTCCTGTTTGGTTAGATATACATCTTGCTGACAAGTGCCAAAAAGTACAAAATGTAATTTCAAGACAATCTGCTCATTATTTTCAACTATCTGATATTATAAAAGCTACTGAGTCCAGCTGGCTCATTATTTGCTAATCTTCCAACCTCTTAGTCTTACATCATTTGCGTGTACCAAAACAGAATAACATAATTTCATAATGACTGTGTTAACACGAAGGATCACATGGTTTTATTCAGAACCAATTGGTGGGCAGATAATGCTCCTAGTAAAAATATCTGCCCGTCATCAAATTCAAACTTTACGCATGCTTACTCGATAAGGGATCAAAAGTAGCAGTAATAATGACTAACGGTTCACCATCTGTGCTTGTAGAGTTGCTTAACAAATGAAGAATCTCAGCTTCATTTTTTACCAGAACCACCTTAGTTTGTATACATGCGGTTATTATGTAGCATTGGTTAAGTGAACCTGAAATTCATTTTTCTATCCATGGCAAAATTTGCAGTGTGGGCAGCACGGGTTCGCCTATCAGATAGTTTAAGGGGAATACTGGAAATCAGGCTGTGAATTTTATCCTATTTTAAGTTACTTAAATGACACACGGATGGTGGCTAAATCATTAAGTTCTGAGAAAAAACCCTGTATAACTTCAGAAGACCAGTTTAAACACTTTTTTGCATATACCAATATTCCCTAATGTAATTTTGGAGAACTTATCATTGGTAATTTTGAATGACAAATAAAATACATGCAGTGGTTTTATAGCGTGTCAGGAGCACTCCAATAGTGAAGTAAAACTTGATTTTTTAATTAGTATGGAGTAGACAATACAGTTAAAGAGAAACTAACTACTGATCGCTTTTGTGATGGAATATTATGCTTCCATGGACAAGACTAAGACTATAGACGTAACATGGATAAGCGCTATCATCATTTACACTAAAATATACCTTAGGTCCTAGCTGTAAGATGTTTCAATAGCATGCTAGACGCCATCACCAATGCACAGACTTTTTTAAGACAAACTGAAAATGATCCATTGTCTGTGAATATATACAGCAAACCGCTTTGTTTTATTCTAGAGTGGCTGATATTGTAGCAGGCATACTTTTATTTACTGACCGTTTGTTTTCAACCTTCTAAAGGGAGTGTTGATTTATTCCCCTTGTTCCGATTCTGCTTGTTGAATGTGGTTTTAAATTAGTGTTTGCTCTTTAAATAAATTGAGGGATTTCGCGTTGTTCCAGTTCTCTGATGCTTTTTTATGAATGAAGCAATGAATATTATCGTGACATTTTTGATCAGTGCCTTACATAATATTCACTGAATTCATTCATTTAGGGGAATTCTATCTAAACTGGCTGATTTCATCTGTAGACCTCAAAACAATACGTGAACCACTTAGGATTAAGAAACACCAAATTACCCACAAAACAACCAGTCAGACTGATGTGAAACATAACAGTATATTATGATTACACATAGCCTAATATCCTCATATCATTTCAAAGCACTGATATACTGACGGTGATGTCTCATGTGACAATGAAATGTCTATCAGTCAACACTTAGCTCAGGGGTTATTTTTATTTGATCATTTTTAACATCTTTAACAAATGCCCTCCCAAAATAGCAACTTTGCCTAATCAAATTTTAAAAATGAAATATTAACGTGACGATTTCAAACGTTCATCTGATTTTAATGGCGGCATTCTATTCAAAAGTATCTAATTTCTTCTGTCCATACTAGAGGTTTAAGTCTCTATCTACAAACGCAGTGGGTAAATCTATTAATCTTAGGATAATTTCAATAGTTAGATTTATAAGAATATACTAAGTTATCACCTTAATGGTTATTTACCTGTCTCATGTTATGAACATCATTCTAATGGTATATATATCCCTGTAATGTAAAGTACTTAGATAAGGGATTCCACCAAAATTAAATGAATTTATTAAATCCCTCTTTATTAAGGTGATTTTGCTTGTTTTAAACATTTCTTTTTGTTTAGCATGGTAAAGCTTTAGAAATCTTTAATTTGAAAAGGAAAAAAAGTATAAACTTACTGATGACTATAATTCTAAAAGATTTTCCAACCACCTTTGAGTGAGAGTTGTCCACTGAACAAGTATAAATACCTTCATTTTCTGGTTTGGCGTAACGAATATTTAAAGTGCCTGTAAAAATTATAGGTTACATATGAAAAATATTAATTAGAAAACACTAACAAGGCCTCAGATTAAATTAGTTTAAACCTATAGTACTCAGGAAGGCATCCTGCTCATTTTTCGTAAACTTCATGCATTTATTCCCCTTGATGAATTTGAATACAGCAAGAACAACAGTGGCTTGTGCAGAATAATATGGTACCATCATTTATTTCATTGGCTTCCCATCAGCTGCTTACAGGCTAAATAAATTATGAGGTTTATGTACAGAAAAGTTTAAACAAACTTGCACATTTTTCATGGTGTCAGTTGACAGAAGGTTCCACAATTAGTGAACAGTGCTCAGAAAATTGCGCTTATATAGCTTTTGCACAGGCAGTTCAAGTACAAACAAAATAAATGTATGCATACAATGGTAAAGGAGTTACGTGATAAAGACGAAAGATGTTAAGATGCTGAGTGACTAATAATTTAGGTAAAAATGCACTGAGTTCAACTCAAATCATAGAAACAAGAGACAAGCAAAATAACACTGCATCAAATAGCTGAGGTTAAAGCCAAAGATTACGTAATCAAATGAGATAATAAAGACATCCAGTTATCAGGGCAAGAAAGACTTTAATCTGAATCATTTTGCTTTGAATGGAAGCACTTTCTGACAGATACTATGCGATGTGTTTTACAAAACACCCTATTTATACTGTGATTGAATATCTCAAAAATTTAATCAGGTTACAATAAAAAAATGATATTGCATATATTCGCTACAATAGACTCTGAAATTTAACGTATTGGTTTTTGTAGGGATTTAGTTTGATTGGTTGGATGATTTCATCACGAGCTGACATCAGTCGGAGAACCACTGGAAAATCTAGGAGTAATGGAAAGCCCCCTCGTCCTAGTTTGGGACTCTTTAACAGTACGCAGCCACCGGGGTTCGAACCCAGGACCTTCTGGTTACAAGGCGAGCTGAGTTTGAACCTCGGTGGGTGCACGCCGGTGAAGAAACCCAAACTAGGACGAGACAGCTGTGCAGTACTCCCGGGTTTTCCAATGGCTGTCTAACTGATGTCAGATTATGGTGAAATCCTCCAACCAATCAAACTCTGAAATATTTATTAAACTTAAGTAGTACAAACAAGTTAACTATGCCTTCACTTATGCTAACTACAACTGTACAAACTTAGGTTACTAGGGGACAGTAAACAAACCTTCACCATCAAAAAAATAGTAGGGGTATGTTTTCACACTGGGAGATATTTCCTTTGTCATTTCTTTATGCGTTATCATCTGCAAACTGATTAGGCATTCATCAAATACCCTTATATTACAGCCATAAACTGTTTATCAAGCACCTAAAGTTTGGCAAGCTGCAGTTCCCACATAATACACACATATCGATGAAATCCTTCATACTTAAGTACACTCTATTATCTTGTGCCGACACGTAATAAGATTATCTTTTTATAACTTATTTTACATAAATCTTTAGGATTCATAAACACAGACTGATTTAGTGAATGATTTCATATTTGCTTCCACATATTTATTCATAAGTGCAAATGTCTGTCTGTATCGTGTAAACGTGACATCACTACTGTAGGTTTTTAAACTCAGAAGTGGTAAACTGTTCTGTTTAAAACTGAACTTGAGACAAGGGTTATATTTTTGCAAATATTGCTTGTGCTCTCTAACTCAGGCTATTTCCAATGGATTTTATATTTTAGAAGAAATTATTCTATAATTTTGTGCGTTGGTGCCAAAGTGGTAGAATTCTCGCCAATCACGCCTCGTGTAGTTTGGGGTTCGATCCCCGACCGACGCACTTCTTCACCTCTCTAAGCTAGTGATAACACTGGTAAAGAGGGAAGGTTGAGCACGAGTTTAGCAACCCCATCCCGTTAAAATAAAACCCCTGCTACTGAAACTTCTAAACTCTAGCTTGAAGCCCTATGTTCCACTGGGAACGTAAAAGAATTTTTTAAAAATTTTACAATTTGGGAATTTAGTTATGTTTCAGAATGAGCATTTGTATTTTTTCCTGAATGCTAAGTAATCAATGAAGAAAGCAAATAAATGCCCTATTTAGAAATAAATGATTGGATTATGTCTCACTGCATTCAGTTAATTATGTTCGAGGGATTGTTTTTCCCATACGAAAGCTATCACTCAAGTACATTTATTGGTAAAAAAAGATTTTATTCTTCAATCATAAAACATACCATATACTACAAAGTTGCAATTAAGCACAAAATAATATAATCAATAAGAGATTAAAACAGATATAAGCGTTTTTATACATAATAAGGCTCCTTATATTTAGCACAGTATGCTAAACTGCATATAACTGAATTTGTCTAGAATAGTCTCTTTACAAACTATGCAGCTGATTATAAAGTTTTTCGAAGCATACTTTATTGTTGAACAAGACTATAACTCTAAAGTAATTTCGAAGTACTTTACTACTTAACTTGGATAAACTGTAATCACTTCACACAAATCTATCATCGTTCTTACCGTTATTTGATATGAGTTAACAGGTGATAAAATTTAAGGTTATTTATTTCGCTCTACTAAATACTTTCAAAAGTGGGATACTTTTGACTGAGTTCACACGCTGTTGTGGTGGTAAGTATAATGGGGAAGACTGGGAGAGAAGTGTCTACCAAATTTTCTGAGCATAAAAGCAATAACCTTCGTCACATGCAATATTTTTTCAATTTATGATCTCCACTAGCTGAGCTATACTCTTTACGAAGTCTTATTGACTTGTTTATTTACGTCATAACTTTTTTTAATCCCTTGATCTATTCATCCTCTCGTACTCTAACTCCCTTCATTCCCTAGTGGCTTTCGATTTTCCAGTCCTGTTATGAATTACTAACTTCCGGTTGTTTGACTGTTTTAATGTTAAGTATGTTATATCCATTCCTCCTGTCCCATTACTGCCGCAAGTTGTATTTTGCACTAATATAACTGTAATATATCCGTAACATTTTGCATTCGTATTTATTTAAAATAACCTGTGATGCTCTTAGACTGGCAGCGGCTGAATGAAAGCTAGGAAATAAAATAAACTCCTTTTATCCTGCAAACATTTCCATTCTTGTTGATATTAAACTAACTGAACGACAATACGATTTTCTCAGTACACAGAATTAGGCAGGAAAATATTATAATTGTTGTTGATACTATTCCCGTAGAATATTTTCAAAGGAATCACATTTAGTAGTTTAACACAGCTTGCAAAATCTTATAATGATTATTTTAACTTACCAAATTTCTGGTTAATTTCAATATTGTCCATGAATCCATTAAAATACCAACGTGTAGAGACAACCGGTGCACTTTCGAATATACAAAATAATGTCAGATTACTATACTCCTGTATTTTTATCTCTTTCACTGTATGAAGGGATTTTTCATTTTTGTTATTCACTGATAGACTTGAAGTGTTTTCTTCGGTGTATAGGTGTGATAAATCGGAATCATCAGTGGAAAACCTCAGGTGTGTACGGATTTTCTCATTCGGTTCTGCAAATAACAAAAGAAGCATTATTTAGAACTTATGAAATGAGTAGTATAAAATAAATTGGCAAATACAAAGATTTGAAATGGAAGGCATCCATGAAAATCGGTTATTTGTTTGGGATTCTACTTTTTTAAGGACGATGCTTTCTTCACAGCAATATTTTAAGGTTTTTATACTAAGTTGTACAAAGTTTCAGCAATCAGTCAATGGTATTTAAACGTCTAGATCATGGGACATGCAAATCATAATACATCCTCTTAGGTAATGATGTTAGTAATTTCTGCAGAAATTTGATACAACATTATTCACATTACTGTATTAAACTGAGATTCAGGCAATAAGTGCGTCAGTGGCACAGTGGTATAATCCTCGCCAACCTTTACCTCACCAAGCTCAGTATGAACACTGGTAAAAAGGGAAGGTTGGGTGTGACGTTAGCCACCTTATCCTGTAAAAATAAACACCACTGCTACCGAAACTACAAAGCTCTAGCTTGGAGCCCTATGTTCCACTAGGAACATAATGGAATAAAAAATGGCCATAAGTCAAATATGTCTCGTTTTCTTAAAAATAAGGTTTGCATTGAGTGACCCATATAAAGATAAGTATTTGGCATATTTTACTGAATTTAGCAACTACAAAAAAATTAAGTTTTGTATTACTTGCTCCTCCTATTTTATTATTCTTTTCAAGGTGATGATGAAATAAAAGTCACACTGTATGCAATGTTGTAGTAAAATAAACCTGAAAGTGGACACTGTTCTGCTTTATTTTGATTTATCGAAGGCAAAAATATATAAATCAGAATGATTGTCGCTGACGAGATTAGACTAAAGCCATCCAAACCCATTGGCCTGCTGGTTTCTTCCTATAACAGATAGTCGTCTTGATTCGTTTTAGTATCGAAAATTACTGTGTGCTAAGGTATGTCATCGAAACACAATCAAAATAATAGTTCATTTCTGAGGAATGATCTGTGTAGTGTAGTGCAATAACTAACCGAAGTGACTCAGTTAGTATATTCTGGTAGACTCTTAGACGCAGCAAAACTTATTTAGTTGGTATTCAGCAACTAATTTACGTACATAATTCATAGTTGCATGAAAGTAGTCATAATCTGAGTAACTTGATGGTGAAGTTCCTAAAGTTTAATTAAGCCACTCCGGTTTAAGTATCAAAAGCACAAAAGCTGTTGATGAGAATTGCTAATGAGTGATGACTTAATTAAGTGAATCTCTTTGTTATTTGGATGGTAGCATTTTATGTTGGCCATTTAAATCTATTTCATGAACAAAATGAAAGCCTACAAATAATTAAGGAAGTATACTAAAAGTTCAAATGATACATTTTTTAAGTCTAGTTGACTAAGTTATTACGACATTTACTATCATTCACATATCAGAAACAAACATCTGTGATGCATAAGACCATTTGTGACATTACAGCTAATGGATGCAGAGCATCAAGCAAAAGTCGTCAATTCTATTTTGTTCCTCGGTCTCTTAAACCCTTCCATTAACATTTTGTGATGATATTTTGTAGATAACCATTTGTATTTTCACAAACCCACTTATAAATTGTTATTAAAAATGTTTTCATTAGTTAAGTAGACACAACATGAATTCATATTTTTTAAAAGGTTTAGCAAGTAATTTGTTTTGAAAAAAAATTGTGAATTAAGTTATCATCATTTAAAAGCTATCAGTTTTCACCACTGGTGGTCTTTTTTTCAGCTGACTAATTTGTATCTATCTATAAAAACTTATCTATTTAGTTATCTGTATAACTTGAAGTCATTTAAGAGGTGTTGTGAATGCAGTGTTCAGACTGTTCAAGCTTTTGTTTTGCTAGAAAACGAGAAAAAAATATCTATACATTTAAGCAGCTCTATTCATTAGCGTGACATTAATACATGTGTTGCATGGGTGGTGAATTAATTTAGTGTATTAGCAATTGTTTGCACAAATAAACAAAGGCTCGTAGTTTTCATACACCGAAAATAATATATGTGATTCATCCATTTTATGATATTAAGGTCACTTATCGTCTGTTTCCTTTATCACCAGTCTGTAATGTATTTTTTCGAATATTCATACTATGACATTTGAAAAAGACTACATTCTCATCTAGTGCCCTGAGCAAAATGCACTCTTGAAATGTCTGATAATTTATAACTTTAGCACACATGTATATATTTATCTTCTTCTACCTATTCTCACACCGTGGTATATCCTTTCAGATGAATACATATCTTCCTGATAGGTGCTTTAAGAACAGTTACAGCATTTTATGTTCCTATTACTTCATGGTTTCACTCATTATCACAGCATACTTGTACTATGTCCACAATTTTTATACGATGTTCAAAAATTATAACTCATTATTAGATAGGAAAATGTTGTAACATGAAAAATATATATTCGTTTTCTTAACAGTGTATTCTTTACCCTACCAAAGTGTGAAGACGAAACAAAATGGAGGATTTTATTTTTATTTCCATTTTAACCACGGATTTACATCAGTCAGAGGACCACTGAAGATCAGGGAAATAATGGGCAGCTGTTTTGTTTTGGACTCATACTCAGTATGAACCCACCGGTGTTCCTACCCGGAACCTCCTAAACGGTAAGATCGCAGACCTTTCAGCCACCGGGACACGATCCAATAACCCATGAAATCTAACTTCTACCAATTTTTGTGATTTAAGTGCGCCCACCTGCTATTGTCATAGGTGAGTATTTATCCTCACTTCTGACCAGGTGGACTCCACTGGTCACGACTTCTCACTAACGCTCCAGTCAATTTTGTTTTTTAGCCAATTAGTAGCGCGCTAAAATCACGCATTGGTGGAAGTTAGAATTCATGGACCACTGAGTTAGATCCCAGTGACTGAATGGTCTACGCGCTTGCCTTGTAACCGGAAGGTCCTGGGTACATACTGCCAGTGAGTCGAGAACTAGAACAAAACGGCTTTCCAATGCTCCCTAGTTTACAAAAACCCTCTTACTTCTATCAGTCCGTGATCAAATCCCTACAGGCTAAATCATGAATATTTTATTTTTAATCGAGTGAATGACTTGATGAAATGTATCAGTAATCAAACTCTTAAATCGATTAGCACAATGATTAGGAGCTTTTCATATATCAGTATTTATCCTTCATAAATTGCACTAATACAGAAGGTTTTTTCAGTTAATCTTGACGCATCACTCATTATGGTTAAGGTTATCATTTCAGGTGGTTAAGTGGCATGAAGGATAATATTTAAGACAAAAGAATATCACTACATGAACAAATATGATACTTTCTGAACGTCAGTAACATTACATTTTGTCTGTAGGATAACTACAACACTTCGATTAGGACTTTATCGGTCAAATGTGATACAATAAACCGCTTACCACAAGACTGATAGGATGTTTCAAATGGACTTGACTACATATAGTTGTTTCTTTTTGTTTCCTTGCACTAACGCAGGCAGGAAGCCACATTCCTACCGTTCTGAACCAGTTGTTCACTTTGAACTGAATTATCCAAGGTATGCTGCTGATGAACCCAATCCCATACATACGAAACAGTTCAAAAATGTCTAGATCGCTTCGATTTAGTTTATGAAAACTATGTGTTGGTCTGTGTCCATTGTATCAAGCTATACAGACAAGCAAGCTACATCGAATAACATGTTCGTTATTCCGTTGCCATTTTGGGAGCTGAACAGATCACATTATAAACCCCGTGAAATTTAGATTCTCTCGCTTTACAAATGACTGATTGTTTTCAGTGTGATATCTCATTGACTGATATACAGTATCCGTTATAATATTACCAACTAGGAGGAAATGTGATTATGAAAAGTTTTCTTGCTATGATAAGTGAGTCCTTAATGAGTGCGGCTGTATAATTTCTGAGTGCAAGGCTCACATAAAATTAAGAACACTCGTCTATGCAGGTTTTCTTGAACGACAATTTTCGATCCCATATCAGTTCGTATAAGACTGCTCTATCTTGAATTCCATGTTTTAAAAGATGATTTCCCATAAAAGCCATGCATTTTGAACGATACTTTCCAATATGAATGCAAAGTATTGGTGATATCTTTTGCGAGAAAAATGTATTGTGAGCAGGAACATAAAACATTGACTTGAAATTGAATTATCAGAATAGATATTGAGAAGAAAGCTTACTAATGTGCATATGCTCTATATGTAATCATTGATAACAATGTGTTTCAGGATCAAATCTTGAAGAGAAGTTTGATTTCTTCAAGGTAATAGAAACTAGTTGCTGGTAAGTTCCAAGATGAATAGTAACCTCAACCTTAATAGTCACATTATATACTGTCCTATAACCTATTCCCCTAAACTTGACATCCTAGTGATCATGGCTATTTCACTGTATATTACCTTGTTACTTACTGTTGTGATGTCACGAATCTGGAATTATTTCTTCGACAAAATTATCATTTCAGAAACAGAAAACGTTTTCTGTTGTAATACTAACTGAAACGATGTATCATAAGATGATTATTGAAGTTCTGTGGATCGCATTAAATTCTATTTAGATGAATTTATTTTCCTTGTTGTTTTAGTCTAATTGAAATAATTATTCAAGTGTTGGTTCTCAGGAATTTGATGGGTCTCAGGATTTTATCATGAAGTGACATTGGTTAGAGGACCGTGGAAGACCTGGGAGTACTGGACAGCTGTTTCATAAACCTAATTTCGAACTCTTCATCAGTACGCATCCATCACAGGGGTTCAGACCAGGGACCTTCTGTCCAGAACTCCCAGGTTTTCCAATGGTTCCCTAACCGATGTCAGTTAATGACGAAACCCTGAAATAATTATTTTCTCAACAGTCTTTCGCAACGTTGTTTGAAAAAGCTTTTAGTCATATTATGAAATAAAATGCTAGTTACTATTGTTTTCTTGTTCAAGTCTAAATAATGTTGACAACATAACAGTAATTAAACTGCTGTTACATCTTAAACAGCTGTTCCCTTTTTTAATTAGCTTTTAAGAAGTGAACGACATATGTATTCTGTCTACCAGACAAACAGGGTGAACAGGTAAGGACCAATTATCTTCTCTGAATGACAATAAAAATAACTAATGACATTTGAAATAACTATTTAGAGTTTATAAGAAATTTATTTCTTCATTGCAGAAACATATTTCTCTTAAATGCTTTCGGTTAGTGACAAAACGTACGTTGATATATGAGAGAATTTAGTCATCCTGTGGACTAGTTCAAAGAAACACAACTGTAATTATTACTATCACTCATTTAAGAATGCATAATGGTTCATTTAACATAGTGAAGCTCACGAGAATACAAACATAAATTCATTTAGTGTTTCTCAGGGTATATTCTTAGTTAATATTTCACGTAAATAACAAAAGAGGTTTGTAATAAAAAGGTGTTAATTTGGGATTTCGATAACACACCAGATATCATGGTCCATTTATTCACTGTTATATTTTTACACAGGATATACAGGTTTCTTGATTATATTATTACAGAATATGGAAGTATTTCTGAAAACACTTGACACAACAAACACTTTGCTATCTCAAAAGCAAATTACTCCACTCAGAAAGACATTCAACTGAGTTTATCCTTTTCAGAAGTATTTATATTTTATTAATCTTGCCTCAGTCTAGAGGCTAATACGACAATCCTTCAAATGTTTCTCCAGTTTTCATTTAAAAATTCAGACCCTGCTGACTAATATGTTGACATGTTTTTCTCAATTCCTAACTCGAATTTCGCTACACCTTATAGATCTGCGTTATTCTGTTTCTTATGTTCTTAAAGTAGACACACTTTCCCTAGATGAACTACCATATCCATTCTTAGGTTTTGAGAAATATTCATCACTTAGGAATTGGGATCCCGTAAGACCATTTTACCAAGTTTCATAGCTTACTAAATTTCTACTTTGTATGCATTTGAATATGTGTAGTTCTGAATTAAATGTATTTGTTAACGACTTTTATTGGCATTTCCGTAACCTTTTTTACATTTTTGAAGGGAAGTTACGAAAAAGGTATTCTTTACTAACCTATGTTACATTTTGCATTGAGGAGTTACTAATTATTGTAACTCACTTGAGTAAATCTTAATAGAAGATATGCTACTCTTAGCTGTAGTATTGGCTGTGATTTGCAACTTTCGACTAATGATGCACTATCAAAGCGAAAACTTGCTACAGTAAAACAATTATATTTGTACACATATATATACTGCTTTCTCATTAAATTTCAATACAGAGATGTAAGAAGTTTATAACAATTAACTCGAAAACGTTCTAATTTGCTTTAATTTGTATCTAAAAGGACTAAATATGATGAGAGTCTTTAGTCAGTTTATCAAATTCACTGCTAAAATACGTCCTAAAACGTAGTAATGTGAAGTTGTTATAGTTATTTTGAAATCACCTTCAGCATTCAGATGAAATAAAATGTCTTAAAAGCACAACATATAGGATCGTAACTTACTTGTTACAACTAAATGACTCCTTTGACTTGAAATGACTGTTTTATCAAATAAACTTGTTGAACAGTAGTATAATCCAGTATCAGAAATTTGCAGAGAATGTATGAGCAGAATAACAGCCCCTGGTCTTTTATTGTTATTAGTATGTTGATTAGTAAAATGAGGTTTCTGTGAGCGTACATCCCAAGGCAAACCGGAATCATCACCTCCAACGTAAATTAGGTGATATTTATCTGCTTTATGAAAGAAAACATTAAAAAATCGTAAGTCTGTGTATTGCATGAAGCTAGGATTTTCAGTTTAATACTCACTATCTAATCTAGTTGATTTACTCATGGGGTTCGCCATAGAATAATTTTATTTGATACAATATTAATTATTTATTTATGGCGATTCAAACACAACTTATTGCTTATATTCATATCAAAGTGCTCACATAACATTCATATTATGTTTGTATAATACCACTACTTCTTATGCGTTGGCTTTTGGTGGTAGCAATATATCCACATCTCTAGCGTAGGTGATGTGATATTCTTTTCGCACATTTTTGGTTTAGACTCGACGAACACGCATTCAGCTATCAACCATGTCCTTCACCTTACTGTATTATCTTTTGGAAGTATAGCGATACCCCACAGGATTGTGTGTAAATGTATGTTTATGACTTCTGAATTTCCCTCTATACTGACCATCTTCCTGAGGTCACAATAAAAAACCAATGGTAAAACTACTGTCTATAACATAAATTGGACACCCTAAATTGAGTGTCCATAGCGTTGCCGTATAAGGAAGAAACATACGAAATTCTATGTAAGATTCTTAATAAAGCAAGAATCATGGTGGCATCCAGACCAACAAAATTCTTCAGGGGCGAAAACTTCAGGCTACATGACCTCGCTTACGTGAATGGAAAAAAGAATTTCTTCTGCAAAAGATCTTTGCACAGACTGTGAGTCCAACTATACAGGTTGTTTCAGCACAGAGGGATCGTTTAACTTCTCAGAACATAGGAACTTAGCTAAATGACCCTGAATAAACGATCATCGTAAAAGAAGTCTCAGAAATCACAATGTATACATTTATACACAATCGTATAGCACTGTGGGGTTTCGATAAAATTCTAAAAGGTAATACATCAAGGTGGATAGAGTGGTTGGTCACTGAATCTCTACTCACGGAATCTGCACCTAACACATGCAGCTGGAATTCGCATCTCCAGTATTATACATATGAAAATTATTATCAGTAATAATTTCATGGGATAAATAATGTTGGAACTATATAAACATAACCTGAATATTATGTGAGTACCTTAATATGAATATGCACAATAAATTGAGCTCATCAGTAAATAAATTATACTGTATTACTGTGTGCTCTGTCAAAACATTATTCTCTTATGGAATTATACACTATCGCAGTGCCAAATTCTATTCTTAAACTTGAAGGGTAATCAAAATTATTGTCAGCAGCAATTCATCTCAGAGTATTTACTAAGTTACCAGTTCTTTTAATGAGTTAAACACTCATAGCGAAAGTAATTACATAAGTTAAATGAAGTGTAATTACAGCATGTATTCCATTATCTGTGCATCTGTAAAGTGGTGGATGTTTTTCATACATCCTAGTTAAGAGAAATTATTTCATACCAACGAATTCAAATGCAGACTGCATTCAGTAAACAATAACACTACAGTAATTTCTCTTTCCGAAATATTTATTGTTGATATTACTTTGATAAAGCTATTACCATTAAGTAGCAATACGTCAGTGAAAACAATACCGTTTTGTTTTACATTGATTGCGAAATATACAACGATTTTCAAAAATGATAACTCTCTAGAAATGAATTCTTCCTATCAGTTTATATTGTACGGTTTTCGTGTGACTTTATGCACGTTTAGATTCTTCAGAGACTGATTGTTTGTGATTTTCTTCTAGAATAAGGCCATTATTATTAAGAGTCACAGAAAATTATTTAATCATTTGAATACTGTTGTCTGTATACTTCATATTGTTATGTGGTATCCTAGACAAACCTAGTAGACATAGATTACATAACGAAATGCAACGTGGACTAGAGAAGTACATACAGTTACGGCATAATATGTAGGAATGATTAAATCATGAAATGTGAAAATATGTGTCTTCTATCCCATGAGGGAAATTCTGATTACACAATGTTTGATATGCATTCTGTAATTGATGCTTATCTATAGAAGTAACAACATTCGTTTGATATGCACGATTTCATGATTTGCTGTGCATAACTCGAAAGAAACATTCAGATCTAACAGATGTCTAAATATAAGCGAATTCAAAGTATGGTGACCAGTATTTACGGAAACCTTTGAATTTTGCTAGACACTAAGACGTTTGGTCTAAATATTGGATACAAGTATGGAACAGCTGCAAACTTAGTTAATAACTTCTTGAGAAAGTTGGAATACAAGAGTTACAAATAGTCAGTTGATACTTAAATATTTTATGTTGATCTGTACGTCTTGACCTCAGCAGCGTAACCATCCACTGCTAAACAAGGATTCCCATCAGAAAGCACTTTCTGAAGTTCCAGTCGTGACCATTTGTTGGTACAGGTGACCACTTCTACTGAAATTGGCTTGTGCTGGATAGTGATCACAGTATTTTTCAGGCAGCGAAAATAGATGGCTGGGAAATGGTGTATTCACTTGGTGATTTAACCGTTTCTGATCCATCGATACAGATAGTCAGGGATGTTAGATATGGAAGATTTTAAAGTTTATAGACATCTGCGCAGATGGTCAATGGTTTGCTGCAAATAATCAATCTGAAATGAGTTGAACTCACGTCGAAATACCAAAAAAGTACTGTACCAAAACCTTTGAAGGCAAGCTTGCAAAAAAAAATGTACATAAATCTATACACTTCAAGGTACAGATTAGGAGCCTATTTAGCCTACTATACCTTGTCAGTCTCTAAACGATTTGAACAGAACGTTTCCGTGCAAATCTTACTGTTAATATGCTTTTGAAGTAATGAAATTCATTTATATTTATTGTGGCTATGTTGCCATACCTTAATTAGATATCATTCATAACATAATTTACAAGTCTGTTATAATAAAGGGATTAATTTTGTCTTGATATGGTCGCTCGCAAATATTGCAGTTTAATTTAAGTAAACAACAAGTGATAAAATCCTTGCTTACTGTGTGTCAGATCCAGTCGCATATCATTATGATAGAAATGCGCAGTCGGTAAAGATGGCTGAGACTGTGGCAAATGGCAAATAACTCTCCCAGTATTTCCGATTAAAAGAGATAAGTATTTATCTGACTGAGGCGGAAATTCTGGAAGGTCTAAGAAATTAAAACAAAGAAAATAAATGTAAATACATTTAACACGAATTTAATTAAAAAACTAATTTATTAATCATAATACACTGAATCATCACTAAAAAAACATTTATTTAGTATGTGATGACAGAATATGAGTTGAAAGCCCTAGTCTCAGCAGGGTATCAACCAGCGGCCTCCAAAAAATTAACCCATTTTATCTACAGAGTCTGCAACCCAACTTCAAATAGTATCCTCATTAATCAAAAAATAGTTACTAGTAATCTGTTTTATTTTGATTGCACAGAGGACGGCATATATTTTGCTAGGAACCGGTATATTTTCATCGTGTGTGGTGTCAAGTAGTAGACTAAGATTTACTAAAGTTGTTGTACCATATTTCACATGTTTTATTATCTTTCATTACATTCGTCCTCAAATGAGTTCTAGACTGCATAATACTTAGAATCTTTTGACTTAGTCAGTGTAACATTCAACGTTACTTGATTTGTGCTCTGTTCTAGTTATATAGTTAATGTTTTGTAGCAGTTCTATCACAAACATGAATGTTAGTCACCAAATACCTAGGAAAGAGACTACAGATAAATATGTCATTTATGAAAATTAATCGTAGTCTACTTTAACAGCTTGACAGTCATGTCACAATGGCCTTATTTGTTGTTATATATAAGGTTCATATGTTTGGAAAACAGTTATGGAAACTGAGGTTAGGAAGATTTATCATGTAAAACTAACTATACTGCATTGTGCAGCGACAGGTGATAGAGATTCCAGCTGGCATAATTCATCTAAACATGCAGTAAAATGTACTCTCTTTTTTAGCTCCTTTAAAACTGATTAACAGAGTGAATATCAAAAAAATCTGATAATGATCTGAAACATTTTTAGTATTATTTGATAGATAAACTTCTCATTAACAAGATTTAATCAACTTTTTTTAACGCATCTACTTTTGTCCAGTACACTTTGAATTGCACCAGTGATACCTGAAAAATTTACGTACTATTGGGAACAAAGTATAGTAAAGTGTTCATGGATGAAGTCCAGACTAAAGTAAACTCGAAATTTGTGCAACGAATGCGTAACTGTCAGACAGCTGTCCTTCGAAAATATGCTGTAGCAGGAAAAAATGTTACTCATGCATTTTGTAAAAACTGCAGTGATACCAAAAGAGTTCATGTGGTAGATCCTAAGGAGTAAAGTATTGAATCTTCTTAAATAACATACTAAAACTGCTCCTTGTAAAACATAGTTTTTGATTAGATCTATGATGATATCATAAAATGCGACTTATTAGTGGCTAAATCTCTTTCCTTATACTGAAATGCTTGACACAAGGTTCGCTTCGCAGTATTTGCCTCAATGGATAACCACGCTTACAGAAAAAATATCCAATAACACTATATTTGTGTTTGAAAGGTGAAAAAGATGAGGGAATGTCAGGCCGGAAACATTCCATACACAATAAGTGCTTTTCAGCACTAAACGTTAACTTGTTATTTGAAAATTTCTTCATAAGATTTGTTTTTTATTACTCAATTCAAACACAAAACGTTTATCTTTTCCTTGTATACTGTTTGATGACTATAGCAGAATATTTATCACGTGTTTTAATTGATGTACGTCCTCTTATCATTGGAAACAACAACTCTGAACTTCTAGTGAAGGCTAGATTTAACTAAAAGTATTCCAACTGTTCAGAAATATGCATTGTTTAGTTTGTATAACGGGATTCTTGGTGTAAATGCTTGGTGAAACAAAAATAAATCATGAAACCTGAGCATTTGTTTTTCTGGGGAAAAATCTTCTCTTTTTCTTCAAATTTAGAACTTTTGGTTGTGCATGCTAAGTCAAATTAAGAAAGTGACCGCTATATTTACATCTTAAATTGTTGAACTCTCTGATTTGGATCTATAAATATGAATTAGTATGCAACTTGTTTCTTTGATTAAAAACCTAATATCTAAATAAAATTATACATCACGGATGCTAAAATCACGTGGAACTTCAGGAAAAAATAAACAAATTCAATTTCATTAACGAGTTATAACAAACCACTTAAAGTAGATAACTGATACGCCTCCTCCCTATTCCAGATCAGCTGATCTTTTTCCAGTTAATAACGGATTAACAATTTTTTCCCCAAATAGAATTCTCTCTAAGTACTTCCAACTTACTGTTTGGAGTGAGTTTCAAGTTATTTTGGATTTTAGTCTACTAAACTCCCTTTGATTACATTGACTAGTCATCCAAATTGGTGATTTCATCTCTGTGAGCAAATCTCTGTCTTATGAACCATAAACTTCTTGAGTTGCTGTGTGAATAAATGCACTAACAGTGTTTATTAGGTTTCTCAGGCTTCGGTCTTTCTTCCCACCTTTTCCACTGTGAAATCATATTCATTGATGGTAGCCTAAACTAAAAATCGCAATACCTACACTTCTAAAGCGTTAATTTTATAATATTCTTTCTGCTGCAATTCAGAAATTGAAGTTCGTCACTTTCATTTTTATAACCATTGTAATTTCAAGCAGTTTGCAGCTGATGAGAACTTGTGGAACTGAATGATTTCTTTTTACACTGTAAATTTGTTCTTCCTTTGTTTGTCGAAATTTATCAAGGAATTAAAGTGTGTGAACAAACACACTTCTCCTGAATTTTTGGTAGAAATCGCATCATAATGCAAGCTTCTTGTTCATATTCTGCTATGTTTTTTCAGTTGACCAATAGGACTTCATGCAACGTAATTTAACATCAGAACATTTTATTTTTACTTTATTTATTTTTATTTTTTATTTTGGTTACAGCTTGATGCCACACCGTATTTTCAGTACATGTATGGCATTTTCAGCATGGATATCGGTAGCCCAAAGTTTGCAGGCCGACCATAGATATCGGGTGTGCGCTGGCAGGGGCTCGAACCTCGGACCATGTGTATGGTCGGCGAGAGTCCTAACCACTGTGCCACCGACGCACACATGTAGTCATAAAATATTTTACGGAACTCAAAATATCCATTTCTACGTACACCGTATTATAATCTCATGAAAATGTTCAAGAGAACACTGAACCTAACGTTGTACACATTTTTAAAACTGATTTCATCGTTAAAGTAAGAAATTGTTGAAAGTTTCTGTCAGATTTTAGACAGTGAATAAATGTTCTATTCAGTTTCTTGCTGAATGAGGAAAGAAGGTTGCTTTGGAACTATCAGCGGGAAATGTTCGGTACATGACTCCTGCTGACAGTTTTGATCCTTCCTTGTAGGAAATATTCTTCTTAAGGGATGATTTTATTTGAATGATTTCGTTGTATAGTATTTGTTTTGTATTTGAGGAACTTCTGGATTTGTATAGCTGTTTAACGTTACTGTTGAAGTAATTTTGAGTTTTGATTTGTTATTATTGCTAAGTAGTACCACAGCTTCTATCGCGAATAACTTTAGATTTGCTACCGTCACGGCACTTCGGGCTAGCTGCCAACTCAAGGGGGTGTTTAATTAGTTATGCAGTAGAACTCAAAGATAGGTATTCAGTATCCATACCACAGCACATCGGATTTAGTCGCCGCATAATGCAAGAGGAGCTGTGTTTGAAGATTAGGTCGATATGGTATTCATATCCCTTAATAAAATCACTAAATATACACCCATAAAACATACTTACCAAATGGTTTTACATCGATCATCTGACTGGAGATCGTACCAAGCTTTGTACTGGCTAAAATTAGTAACTTCATATCTGGTGAAAAATTATGTACAGAAATTGACCAAAGATTTATGTTCTCTTTAAAAATATTACTGTTACTGTGAGAAATGTAAGGAAAAATATTATTTAAATTTGCTAAATGTTCACTGATTGGGAGAGAAGTAATTTTAGCATGTGTTTGAGCAAATGCAAGTGAATACGTTTCAGTTGAATATTCTTGTATTGTAGGCAAATATATAATTATATTAGGTCTATCTTTATGTACAGCGCCTAGTTGGATAGTTGCATTACGTGGTGAAACCATCGCATAAAGTTGAAATTTTGGAATTAGTTGCGACGTAGATAACTGACTGGGTGAGTAATATATCATATTTGTCGGTTCCATAATAAATTTTGGCAGATCTGCAAACGAAACAATGGAGTACATATATGAACACACACAAATACACTACTGTATAATTGACGGTAATAAATGAGTTATTACTATTAAAAAAATATTACAGTAATATACTTGAAGCAGCAGAATTTACGCTTCAATGTATTCATCAGGTTCAGGACGCAAAATCAATTATCTCTGTGTATACAATGAGCACAAACAAGTCAGTTGTTAAAGTTCGCAAATATTTTCACTTAATAATTAGACATTAGGTTGTCTCTATATATGATAAACAACTTTTAAGGATGGGAGCATTGAAAATCAAACCGCCTTACTCAATTTATATCAGGAAATATCATCAAGGGGAACGGGAGAAAAAATCTCAGACTAATAAAATGTATAAACAATTAGGAATTAATTATTCATTATTTGTCATGGAAATTATCACAATGCATCAGTCAGAATTAATAAAATAAAGATAATACATGTTTACACTATGAAAATTGAAAACCAATGGGACGATTGTACAGGATTACGTAAAAGAATAATGTTGCTATAAATGTAGGATATCTTAGACTCCATAAACTCTTAGTAGACGGGGAAGCTCAAAGTATTCTAAAATTGAACCCAGTGAGAATTGGAAATTAAACTTACGTCATTTAAGTAAACAAGTGGAGCCATATATTAACTTTTGTATTAACGAGATTTGATCTCCTTCATATGGCGAAGATGGGCGTAGTTGTTTATAAAGATCTGTATTAATAATCGATTCATCTTTCTTTTTTTCAATAAGTGGGTTAGCTGAAGCTCCGTCTGTTCATTTAGATCTTTTTGGATCGTCTCTCTGAAAAGGTCCATGTACAAAAAGCCTACATGGACTGAACGATTCATCAACTTTCACAGCTTCGTGCCCTTAAGCAGAAAGCGGAACCTGATATACGCTCTTTCCTCGAGGACTCAGATGATATGCACCGAGGAAGTGACTGATGAAGAACTGAGTATTCTCAGAGAAACCCTTGATGGAAAATGGTTTTCTACCTACGTTCATAGACAAGAACCTCAAATCAAAGAAGACTTCCGAACATGTTCAATCCATCCCGAAAAACATGCTCCTGCTTAATCTATAATTCACAAGTGACATTGAAGCAGAAATACTTCGTAAACGCCTCAGTAAATCTCTGAGGAACACATACTTCGACGTGAGCCTACGACAAGCGTTTTCCTGCAAGAAACTGTTCAGCCAGAACTCAAGAGACAAACTGTTGCATTGAACCACTTCAACGTGCATATACCAGTTTACTTGCTCGTGTGGAGCTGAGTAAATCGGCCGTACCATGCGCCAACTTAGAAAACGCGCTTGTGAACACTATCCAGTCTGGCTAATAAAAGGAGAACGTAAAGGTGCACACAGCTCAATGACGGAACATTTAGTCATTTCAGGACATTCAGGGGCATTCGAAAAATCCTTGAAAATAATATACAGGATTCGATGGAACCTATCAAAGAGAGTAAAGTTAAGACATCTGGGCATAGCCGAGGCACAAGCCATCGAGAAACTGTCTTACATAATGTAAAGTAATTCTATTGTCACAATGGGGATTGGGAGATAAAACAGAAAAAATATAATTTTCTGTTAGCTTCAGAACTTTACGAATATTTAGATTGCTGTTTACGGCTAAACCATGTAAGTTAGTCTGTTTTGCACACAGTTATAGTCACTATTAATCCTGGAAAGCATTCGCGACACTTCCGAGAATTTGGGCTTAGAAATTCCAAATTTTTGGAGCATTTAGCCAGTTTATTTCGAGAGCAACACATACATCTTTGGACAGGAGTTAATAAACTGTACAAACTGTGTTATGGTCAATAGTACTGGTGCCTTCGCCTGTTTTCCGTAGACGCTGTATACTTAAAATGAAAGATCTATGACTGAGAATTGTTTTAATCGGAATGTTATAGCCCAACTGTGAACCAGAGAAATTCGTATTATTTCCGTTTAAGATTTCATGTGTTGCTGTACTTAAGTAAACTTGACATTGTTCTGATTTTCTCTTATTATTAATCAGACATAAACTTATCCTAAGACCTTAAGTAAGATGTAATCCGGCACAAACTGTAAGGATTAAATATAAATCAGCGGCCCTCTGTCTAAGCATACATAAACGCTAATGATATGCTTGTTATTGTTCTCTTAGGTTCCGAGTGGAAAATAGGTTTTCAGAAGCAAATCTCCATTTCATCCGGTTCTCTGCAGTCCCTTAGAGCTGACCCCATGATTACTCATAAGTTCTCGTTTCCTCATCGCTCCATTTCCTCCATGTCACCCTTGAAAGTTCAGCTTGCCATTTCCAATTCGGGTTCCACTCGAGAGTCTTATGAAGTTTACTAGTTCACTAGTCTATTAGCCGGTCGTAAACCCGAAAAGAAGGGAAGGTAGGGAGCGAGGCAAGTGATACTACCCAGAAGATCATCTCAATCGCTTATGAAACTTTAAAGCACAGCAAAAATATATGTAAGATAACACTTGGTTAATTACTCTGAAGATTCATGAATTATTTGACATAACTCTTAATATTTGCTGTTAATAAAATCATGCTATTCAAGATAGGTTTGATAATTACTGCTTCGTAAACAATTATAAACAGAAAATATGTTAAAGAAATATCCATATTATGGAAAACTTATAAATCACCACTAAGGTTTCTCAAATAAGCAGGCCAAGAGAAATCATTATTATGTGGTATTAGTTAGGATGGTACACATCGGAAACGGAACAGATAAGATCTTTGGACGATAATATCTGTTTCACAAAAGCAGAAAGTTATTACTTTTCGTTTTTGTACTTGGCATCTATACTCATATGCATAAGCTTTAAATGAACAATCACTATTATTTGGACAACATTTTTGAAAAATTTAACTTTTCATAGTAATATACATGAAATTACATGCCAGATATGATGTTTGCAGTAATGGTAGCTGCAGTATCTATACTTGTTTTTCTTTTCTTGTTTGTACGATATAGGGTTTCAAAAAATAACCATTGTGATGACTTTGTTTCTATTTAAGAGGACAGGATGTCATTCATAAGGCGGCAGATTTATTTGTTGCTTAGTTAAACATGTCAAGGCTTGAATTATTTCGGTAATTTTTTCAAGTAGTTGTCTGTGGTGTGCGCTACTGATAAGACTTATAAGTAGTAAATAAAGAGACGTTCATCAGCATAAAATTACCAAATAGCAGGGAGACAGAAATGACGTCAAAGAGAGCGAATGAACCAGTGTTATGGAAAACATGGGAGACGTAAAAAGAAGACAAAAGCCACAAAACGAATTCAAATGATGATTTGGAGATAAGGTGTACGCAATTTTGATATACAGAGATACCGTTAAGCGTTTTCATATTTATGGGAACACCATATGACAGTGTATCTTAGTGCATACATATCTAAAACCTAATCTCCGTGACAATATATATTTCAGTGGTAGTTTATTACACGCATCAGTTAAATGGGAAACACTATTTGCGGGAGGATGTTTTAAAAGTAATTCATATTACATAAGCATATCATGTGTAAACTCGCAACATTAATACCTGATTTTGACGGTGCTTGTATTTCATCTTTAATTTTATTAATGCTACTAGAGTTTTCCAGTTATCTGAAATCATTCCTACTGCATATGTTTCCAGCTGATTTCATAAACAAATTTTCTTTCATCACTCTTTCTTCTTTCATTCTGCCATATGAGTTTAAGTACTGCAACTTGACTGAAAGTTGGAATGTGTATTAATTTCTGCAGTAATCTGTCAGTTTAAAGCATAATTTGCACAAAAGAGTTTCTATTTTACTCATGAAATACTAGAATATTTATGGTGACATTTTACAGACTGATGCAGTGAATTATATGTTCTCGTGAAAAGCTGACATAAAACAGTATGTTACACTCATTATACAATCTTTAAATCTAAGATTCATCCATCTGTCATTCAGTAGAAATCTTGAGAAGTCATTTTGAGGTTTAAGAAAGGATATACAATTACGAGATTAACGTTAAAATTCATTTCAAATTAAATCCCTTAAATTTTAAAAGTTACTTAGCATGACACAATGAATTCACACTAAAAGCGTGATAATTAATACTAATTTCCCTTACTTCTTACTCATTCAATTTACAGTATTTCAGAATTAAGACGTATTTAACGCTATCATATACTACTGAACTGACTGTTCATTGACTACTTTTTATTCTAAATTGTGCATTTAATAACAAAGTATTATTAAACGCTTAGAATGTCATGCGGTTTTTCTTTAAGTCCCATGAACTAAGGACTTATAACTCTAATAATTTTATTTTGATAAAACACAGTGATAAAGAATTATTTATTTTCAAGCGCTGGTTTGCGCAATCAACACTTGAAAATCAGTCTAATGATCACTAGCGACTGGTCCTATTCAGGTAGGTAGTTACCTGGATTCTAATGAGAAGCTTTGACCACTGTGATACAGCAGGTTGGGCGTGACGACAAAAACTCGCCGATGATATTAGCTAGTGGTCTCGATTTATCGTGAATTGACAGGAGTTGGAATTCATGGGCTGGTCATTGGGTTGTGTTCCAGTGGCCTAATCGTCCACGAGCTCTCCAGAAGGTCCTGTTTTTGAACCCCGGTGGGTGCATATTGTTGAAGAGTCCTGAACTAGGACGAAACAGCTGTCCAGTACACCAAGGTCTTCTAGTGGTTCTCTAACCGATGTCAGCTCATGAAGAAATCCTGTAGTTATTTATTTACTGGTGAAGATTAAGACATCACTTAATGTTCATATTCATATCAAGGTACTTATATAACATTCAGATTTGTTTATTTAGTTCCATTCGTTTCTTATACTTCAATTTTATTAGTATTAATATTTTCCATATCTCTAGTATTGGGTTTGCGTCATTCTCATTGTAAATGTTAGGCGTAGATTCAGTGACCAAAGATTCAGTGATAAGACTCTCTTTTCACCAAACTATGTTGCTTTTTCGATAGGTAACCCTGTCCTACCGTATTGCATGGTGGTGTATTGGTGCATGCAATTCGATTTCTGAATTTATAAAATTATTCTGTAATGAAATTATATTCGACTCCATTTCCTGAACTTCATTTTTATACCAATGATTTTTATAGATTTAGGTGGCATTATTTATTGAATTTAGTCTTTGGTAACTATATCTAAACTTTAGTTCGCTTCAACCATATTTAAATCTGCTTCTACATATAATCTGTCATGTTTCGTAAAATTTAGGCACCAAGTTAGATTACTGTCCCAGTTAGCATAAAGGTCGAATATTTAGGTCGGAAACGACACTTTTGTTTGGATAGTGACTGTAAAAATTAGGATAAAATATGGTTGCAGAGGAATTTTAAGGCTTTGAAATTTAACTCCATACACTTTTTGTTACATCAAGAATAACTGCAACTAAATTGAAACATTTTGTTTTGCCTAAAAGGGATTATTTTAGCTAGTATAATCAGTGTTCATAAGATTAAGTTGCCTAGTAATCATTTTCATGTTGGCAAATAATCTCATGCTTCAATGAATGATGTTTACTTGAAGATATTACATTATTTCGTATCTGAAACATCGAAATCAATTGCTATAACAAAACTGTGAAGACCCGAAACTACCAAAATTGAACAGGTGAGATAAAGGTATTCTGTGTGTGATTCCTGTCAGTCATTCGAATGCTGTATTTTTTTACAGGTTTCCGTATAATTTACAAACTGGTCTTTTGGTAAAGTTTCATGATTTGGACAGCTACTTTCAAGAAGCTCTTCTGATTTGGTAGCTTTTTAAAAATTTATAAAATGAACTAAAATGAAGTGGATATTTAACTTCTTGATGGTAAACCTGTGACCTTATACTACTGTAAAATGTGCATCTGTGAATGAGTTCACTTTCCCCTCATAAAACACTTCACACTGTATGGGATACTCTCCACTATTCCACAAACTTTGATTTAGAGGATAAAAAGAGACAAAAAGTAACCTTTTGTCATGTGAACAGAAACTGATGAAAACTACTCACTAGCTGACTTCAAGCAAAATATTTGTCAGAGGCACTTAGCTTACTGTGATTTGTTCAGATAACAAACACCTTCCACTAATTTTTTACAAGTTATGGAATCTAGGCTTACTCGATTGTTAAAAAATCTAATTAGTTGATTGATATTACTTTTGCCATAGATAGTTTTATGGAAGAAACCTACACTAATATCAAAACACGTAAATAAAAAGCATTTAAATTGATGAGTTTCATGTAGTCAAAGAACTAATTCTGTGTTTTACGCGATGGAAATTATCTGCCACAAGAATTATTAACTTATGTTGGACAGCCATTTTCTTTAGACAACTTGCAGTGAACTAGTGGTTATTCATGAGTATTCTGAGCCTAAATATATTCTTAGAAGAAAATTGTTGATTTCTGGGTATTTCTCTAAGATTCCTTAATTTAAACTATAAAATACAAAAATATAATGTGATCACACAACTAAAATATATTTCGCCATCTTTCTATTTGAAAAATGCTTGGCATTTTGACAAAATCCACAGCAGTATTCATCCACAAGCGAACATAGGTGAGGATCACTTCTATTCATCATGTCAACTCAAGCTAAAACTAGTGGTAATCACTGGGCAGTACACATTGACTAATTAGGTCAGAGTAAGTCGGGGTATTTTCATCTGGCATTATAGAAGATATTCACAACTCAATGTGCTAAAAGCTTACAAACAACTGTAACATCAAGCTTGAGAGAAAAATAAATAAACAAGCGTTTCACAATTTATGAATTAAAAAGATATGAAGTGAATAGAAATCGTTATGATTTAATCTCTCATTAAAAATCTCTCTTAAAATTTCCCAAGAGACAGAAAATAAATGAAATGGCTGATGCGAAAATTCTGTGAAGAAATTTGAGCTGAGAGGAAAACATAATTAGATATGATGGAGAAGATTTTTAGCTCAGGTAGTTGTGTTCTCTGAACTGGATAGTTAATTTGCGAAGCTTTCATCGTCCTACTAGGGGACATCTTCAGTGCATACTTCAATGTGTTGGAGTTAGCTTTTACATTTCTCCACGGGTTTATTGATCATCTCTCCTGGTGATCTTGAACGTGATTGGTTGATTTTGTGTGTTTTCACACCTTCTTGGCTACTTGTATTGGAACTGATTGTTTCTTTGACTTGAACTTTGACCCTTTGTGTGTGAGGTTTCTTTCGTATCGGTTGATAAATTTTGTCTATCTCGATGTGTCTATTGATTGATGACTCACTGGAATACCAGGCTTCCAGAAATTCTCTAGCATTCTTGTTGTTTCCTCTGTCTAGTATTCTAACGTTGTCCTGGTCGAATTGATGTCCGTGGTTGTCTGTATGCAGCTATATGAGGGGGTGGATGTCATGTCTTTTGACGGCTAGTTTATGATCATGGATACAAAGACTAAAGGAACGTTCACTTTGGCCAATGTAGTGTTTTTCGCAGTCACTGCAACTTAATTTGCAGATGATGTTGGTTTTATCTTTTTTTCGTTGTTGAGTCTTTTGGGTGACATAGAACTGGCTGAGTGAAGTGATTTTGTTGGTTTGTGTGTGATATCAATTCCTAAAGGTTTGAAGAGTCTTGCAGTGATTTCTGAGATGTCTTTTATATGTGGTAGGGCGATTTTCTTTGTGCTTTCCTCGGGGACCTTTGATTTGGTAGGTTGGCTTGGCGGTGTACATCTTTTGATGAAGTTCTGTGGATATCCATTCTTTCAGACGACGTCCATGAGATATCTTTCTTCAATTTTCCTTAAGGTGGATGTGCTCCAATGAGTCCTGGCCCTCTTAAATAGTGTATGCAAACACACCGAAAGACATCTACTATCAAGCCAACTGACCAAATCAAAGGCTCCCAAGAAAAGCACAGAGAAAATCGCCCTACCATATATAAAAGACATCTCAGAAATCACTGCATTGATAACATAATTAATAATGAAAGATAATTGGTATCCTAAATTCATTATGCATAAAAATTATTCAATTTCAGTTAGAAGGATTAATCAATAACAAATTTTCGAAGGGCTGTGTTACCATTTTTCTTATTAAATCAGTATTCTTCTAACTGCCTTATGAAGTATACTACAACTACTCGGCTCAGGATGTGCTTATATATATATATATATCAAAATGATCAAAGAATGACATAACTTACCGTGTATCTGCATATAACTACTACTTGCTCCACTGTCTACGAAATATATACATGAAAGTAGACTGATGCAAATACACAAATCACATTTTAGAGATAATTTCATATTCTTTGTTAAAAAAGAATACTCATGTGATTTTCACATAGGTTGATGTATTGGTCCGACAAATTTGATAAAGGACAGAACCTGAAAGAAACGAAATAAATTTGAAAATATGTACATCTTATTATTCTAAAATTGCGATTATTTTCATATTTCTAATTAAATATTCCATTAATTGTTAAAAAATGAATGCTAACATCGAATAACTACTAGGGTCAGAGACTCGTTAGAAGTTTTCAGGTTAATGAACATACTTATATATTCTTGTTTTGTAAGTCATTTAACGAGCATTCGCTATTTTTTTAAACTTTAGATTTTCATACACTAGTTCAGAAATAATTGATAATTAACAAATTTTAATTCACTAAAAGGTTTACTATATACACTGTTAATACGTACATTTTCTCTAAACCCAGACCTGTTCCTCCTGAATGAATGTTACTAAAAATATGTATGATATAACTTGAGTGATGCTGCACACATAATGTGAGTTGTAGATGTGAAATAATATCTGCTATGAAATCAAGAAAATACTACTTTTAACACCATATTTGAACAGTGGGAAGTTAGGCTTTTAACTCTTAAGTTGGAACAAAAGCATTGCTTTGTATATCTTGACATAACCACTCCAGTGTTAAAATGCCCAGATGGACAGTAAACTTTATTTACGGACTAATATATTCAATTAGTCTTCACACATTTTGTGACACTGGCATTGTTTTATCTTATGGCTGTTATTTAGGATTTCAGTTTCAGTGAAAGCTTCCCATTTTGTCTGCAGCTTCGAAGGGACTGATACACTCAGAAACTTGACTCATAGAACTCAAACACCATCAAAGAAAAAAAATCACTTATTCCTAGTAATCAAACAAATACTCCATTACAATCCTACAGGAGTTCATCCTCGGTTTGAATAAGTTAGAATAACATCTCTGACTGGACTACTGGGTGACTTGTGTTAGGATATTAATGAAGACACCACATGATTTGAATTTTTAGATATGTTCTGCTGATGTGTGCTAATATGCACCAAAAGTAAGTCGAGGGCTCTCTGTAGACAACTCTCAACTACCTTGGATAAACTTTTGGAAATATGCGAACAGTGATCTGTGCATCTAGTTAATTTACCGTCACACAATAAAATGTTACAAACGGTTTAGTAATGTGATTTAACAGACAAATTATAACAACAAATTTCACTGATTAGTTAAAAATAGCTTCAGTAAAATTAAATTCTCATGCAGTTGAAAATCAAGGAGGAATTAAAAGAAGCTTTGGTGAAATCTAGTATTCTCTGATATTGCATATCTACTATTTCTCCTGTGCTTAAACCCATAATACTTACGTATTCTTGTATATCCGTCAGTAATACTGATTCTAAATCGAAACATATCGTAACTATCACTTATTTTCATGGGCTAGTAAGTGTTACTGTAATCAGCCTGGATAACGGAGGAATTCTGACAAAACGAAAGAATTACCGAAGACTTTAGATTGGTATTTGTTTCTGTTTTACTAACAATAAAATCTTTTCACTAATTTTCAACTTAAATAAAAGTACTATCATATTTTTCTTTTCAAGCAGCAAATATTTGGAAGTATGTTATATCTCTACAAATTATCTATGAGTAACAGGATAAAAAAATAGGAAAAAGATTTGAGTCCTTTTCAGTACATAGACCTATTTATTTAAAATCACAAGTCCAACATCATTAGCCAACTTTCGTACTGCTTAAAAACTTTTTAAGTAAATTTAGAGGATGTTCAGGATTAATTATTTAATGGATCTTTGTGGCTGGCGTCTTAAACAAATAGTCATAAAGAATTTTCCGCATAAGTCATAATATTTATACAGTTAGAATGTCATACATTTATTTATGAATGCGTTAAGACTATTTTCATCTGTAGCTGAAGATATATATGTTTATATATAAGTTATGAAAAGCTTCAAGGTAAACTTATTGGCTGTATATTGGTACATTTTACATGTAAAAGTTTTGTTATTCACATTTCATTTCAGTCATCATTTTGCAACAAATTACCTAGGAATCTGTTACAAATATATATATATATGTATTGAAGCTCTATTCCACGCATTGCTTTCTGCGAGATGTTTTTGTTTGCATGCAGGAATCTCAGAAAAGTGCCAATATTTGTTGCAATTTCGTTGTTTTTCTTGCTTCAAATTTCTATTACCTCATTCTTCTACTGGCAACTTATTTATAACGTGTCATTTCAGTGTTTAATTTATGTATCTACCCTGCTGTTCAAGTTGAATTTATATTTTGGAAATAATATATGTATATATGAGAATCATTGTTGCTGTCACTTTTAATTTCATTCTGTGTTATATATATATGTTGCGGAGAAAGTTATTATTTTATAACAAAATGTAACAAACGATGGATGACACGTATAACTGTTGATTTTGTATTTTCTTCCTATTATGCATACATAAATGTCAACTTCGTTAGCTTTCTTTGAAATGAAACTTTCCATCTCTTGAAAGAATATTCATCACTCTGTATAGTTAACAGCAACACAGTTTGTTTTCTTTTTTTTAAGAAACATAATATCTTGTCGATTAGATACCAAATAAATCATAAATTAATAAATCTAAAATGATAATCTAAATTTATGTGCTGATGTGATACACATCAACATATTAGCTTCTAGTGGCATACTCAAATAACTCACTCTTGTTTTATTTCAGAAGACTTGTAATATTCATATTTGCAAATAAATCTCTAAATTAAGGAGAAAAGCTCCTCATTATAAGTGTTAGGTTTCCATTGAAGTGGTGAAAGAACCATAGAGGTTCATTGTTAAATGTATCGAACTCATTGGAAAAGAAGAACAGATTTAACTGCAACTGTCAATGCTTTTCATTGAAATGTTTATATCATATTCCCTTGGTTACTTAAACAATTTGACCACGGATTGATATCAGTTAGAGAACCATTGAAAAACACCTGGGGGAGTACTGGACAGCTGTTTCATTCTAGTTTGGGAGTCATCGGCAGCAAACACTCACTGGGGTTCAAATCCAGGACCTTCTGGTTACAAGGTATACCATTCAACCACTGGAACCCGATTCAGTGGTCAGCCCATGAATTCTAACTTCGACCAATTCGAGATTTAGTGCTGCCTCCAACCAGTGTCATCGGCGGGAAATCCACCCTCATACTTGACTGGATGGATCTCACTGGTCACGACTGAACACCAAGCTGTAGATAGTACGTGCTACTCGTTCAATCCTTTGTTTGGTGCAAACTGAATTCCATCACTCAAATTTGTAGTGTGGTGAGCATGCTAGGTGGTGCTCACTGCCACAGTACATTGTGAATTATTGTTAAGTAGTTGTAGTCAGTCGGCATATATATCATGCCTGTTGGCACTCATCAGCAGGAAGTATCTGCATCATGAAGGCACTCATGTTCCCTATTAGATTCCAACGCCGCTCACTTTTTGCTGCAATCAGAGACGTTATCACAAAGCTAGTCAAAGTCATGAGTCACTTTCTGTAGGACTGCAATGGACAATTAGAGTGAACACTTTGGATTTAGTCTGCGCTAAACCTTTTGTCAAAACCAAGTATCCATTACAGTCCTACAGGGAGTTACTCATGACTTTGAATGATTTAGTGGTAACGTTTCTGACTGCAGCACTAACAAACTGGTGTTGAAGTCTTAAAGGGAACATGAGTACCTTTAAGATTGTAGATAATCCTTGTTGAAGAGTGTCAAAAAGCATGACACGTACGTTCAAGGCTTTCTTTTAATTGCCTCCAAACATCTGGCAACAGTATTTTCAGTTAGTTTAAATTCTATAACTAAAGTAATTTGATCAAGGTAATGGAGCACTTTTCTGGCGAAGAAAACTCTCCATACAACCCCTGTACCATTTTACTCAACATTTGCTACAAAATGAAATTAATCAGATAAATGATTCCGACAATTTATGCTTTTTGCTAACTTATAAACATAACGAAAGGGTTTATAAAACAACTTCCAGATAATATTTTATGGTTTTTTTATAATTCAAGTTGTTGTACAATAATTCTTATTATTATTGTTATCATCATCAGGAAATCGTTTTTACAAAAAGCATATTTTTGTTATGGCTTCATTTAATTGTCTCAAGTCTAATCTGGTTAGCATTAGTAGACTTTTCCTCATAAAATCCGAATGACGTATACAGAAAACTAATCATTGTCCAAAATATATAGAAATTAAGTAGCGATGGGGAGTAGCTTTTTAAAAATCAATCGATTGGTTTAAAGTTACTTCAGAAAATTATAAAAACATTTTTTGGTTTTCTGGCGCCAGAAGTATTTCCATTGTTGATTGCATATCATTATGTAATACGCTGTATGAGCAATTACTGCTTTGTGTTAGGGGTTGAATATGTGTATAGTAGATAGAAAATAAACATAAATCCCAAATGTAGACACCGTCATTTGGTGAAACATTTTCTTAAGGTAATATCTGGATTTGCTGGTCAAGTAGTATGTGATTGTGCAGACAGTGTAATCATAATAAAAGAGGGACAAATATCTTATACTGTTGTCTTCAGTGCCTTTTTTAATAAGGACTATGAGAAAATGTGTTTTTTTATTCATTCTGCCATATTTCCAGTGAAAAAGAAGTTTTCTAGTTCATACACAGTCGCAAAGGCGCGTCTGTATTGTAATCGTAATGTATGAATGCTTCAAAGTTAACGAATATGGAGCAAGTTAAGGTCTGAGTAGAGCAACATAAAAATTACGTCAGGAATCTAAAGCATTCCATTAAATCACCAATTGCTATCTGACAAGTTTCACAGGTACATACCAATTTGTGACAAAATTAGGCATGTGTATTGTGTACGCCAACTTCTAATGTGATTATCGTGACTAAATTTTGTAGACATGGAGTCAAAGTCGATGATTTTCTAATTACAATTAAAGCATTAAAACAATTTTTAAAAATGTTGAAAACAAACATGTATTCATAACTACAATTCACTCAACTGCAAAGTAAGTGAAAAATTAACACTTCATTATGTTTCCA